TGTTTATGTTAATTATTACATACACAAAAAGTTTCCTAAAAATATGTGGCGTTATAAAAAATGGTATGCGGACAATTAAGTTATAATTTCCACTGAAAGGTGTTTTCATGTTGGTCATACGTGTGGTCTTGAAGTCCAGGGGTGCACTGGGCCTGTCACTCACACACCCACCCTGATCCGTGGGAGACCCCTCTGCAGTCAGCCCTCGGTCAGCTTGCTCGGTCGTGTCGCTAAGTTAGAGCATGCAGAGCGGGAAGAAAATAACCCTCCGTGGAGAATATTTCCAAGCCTAAACTGATCCATGCTGAAAACTGTATCTGGGATGAAAAATAAATATATGAACCCAAGCTGAACTTGAATTCTAGGCATATGAGATGGTGCTTGCAGGTGGACTCATTTTGCTTAATTTATGAAATTCGAGCCGCTCAGGACACTGAGATAATTTGGAGTTCACTTTTCTGTTTGAGCCATTTAACCATGAATGATTCCTGCATGGTTACTAGAGGTTGGTGATTACCACCTTAATTTACACCATTGATCTCCAACAAAAGATATTTTTACCTCCTTTGGAAATGCTTCATTATAAATCTATGCATCTCTGAAAAATAAATAAAATCTGTAGCCGTATTCTCTCTATGTGTGTGCGTGCTCAGTCGTGTCTGGCTCTGCGACCCCATAGTCTGTAGCCTGCCAGACTCCTCTGTCCTTGGAATTGTCCAGGCAAGAAATACTGGACTGGCTTGCCATTTCTTTCTCCAATTTTCCCTCTATGATACAGCAAATTAATTTTTCCAAATAATGCATGCATGTCATTTTCTGAGAGAATCTGCCGATGATCAATGACCTAGTGATGTAACTGGTTCACCAATTATTGCTAAATCCGCAAGAAATGAAAAGATTCAGGTAAACTTTGGTGTGGCCCCATTATGTAAGTTCATTTCGCCTAAATGTTACTTTCATGAATTTATGCCCAGCTGGCAAGGATCTCAGGATGTGGACTTTTCGGATTATTTTTTTGTAAGGCAGTGCTTTCCTGTAAGGTGTACCAAGAAAAAGAATCGCAATAAGAAACTGAAACAGTCTATACGCCAAGCATGTAAACTGAGGTCGAGAGCTTGAATGCCAAGGCAACTCAGGCTAAAGTCTTTTTTTCTGACAAGATATGTAAGCTCTGAGGCATAGAGATCATTCTGGAAAATTTACCCATTTCTCCACCCAAACAAAATGTTCTGGAGTGAATGTCTCCAAATGGTACCTAGCCTGATGTTACTTGGCCAGGTGACTTATCTAGGAGTCTCGACACCCCCAGGACAGAAGAGGGGGTGGCTTTGCTCCCATTTTGTCGAGGAGCTCATGGGAGCCCGGATGATCGGCCAGCGAGCTAAACCTCGTCAGGTTCTTCTGCTTGGTGTGCGGCAGCATCTACATCACTCTGGACCGATTTCACTTGCATCCGTGAAGATGCAGAACAGCAAGGAGCCGTGTCCCTTTAAGCAAGCCGCACAGAAACTGTCCCCAACCGCGTGGCTGCCACGGCAGACAGTGCTCGCTGCCGAGCCCTCTTTCCTGAAGAGCCCCCCTCAATACTGAGAGACGGGGAACGGTGAAGCCTGGCTGTGCGTCCTCGCGCCAACCGAAGGCATAATCACGAAGCTGGCGGATGGGATGCGGAAATATGCAGCCCTTGGAAATGGATTAAATGCACATACATTTTGTAATGAGTGACTGTAATGAAAGTCAAATGAATTATAATAAAATATGGAGTTTTAAAAAAGAAAACAGCTCACTGCATAATGTTGCTGGGGAAACATGGAACAGTTTTTCACTGCGTGCTATTGTCAAAGTAAATAACTACCCAAGACAAACTTACAAAGTGCTTTTAACTTTAATGTGATGCAGAGAGTCAGTCATTTAATTTGTTAATTAGTATTATGCCAGAAACTATCTATTCAATATGAAGCAAATATGTTTACAATCTTATCTGCCATCTGTTTAATAGATGGGAGAATACTTAGAGCTGGATTCTCAAAGAGGGTTGGTGAAAATTTGTTCCACAATTAGCGCAGCAGATTTTTTAATTCTGGAAGAATTTTGCGTGTGTGGGGAGCACCTCCACCGAGGAGATAGTACATCACTGTGCTGCTGCTGGAGACGGGCGGCTGCCTCTAATGGGCTTCGGCAGATGCTGTACAAATTTAAGGAGTGGGAAAATTTTTTTAAAAGATACCTATGAAGGCTCTGATGTATCTACATAAATATAGCAACAGCTCGCAGAAAGTAGAACTGGCTTGGCCAAAAAGAATGTTAAGCCCAGATTTAGAGATGAGTAACGTCAGGCTCCGTCTGCTGATGACACACGCTGCTTCTGTGCCCATTTTTCTAAGATTTCACCCAAGCAAACTTCCGTGAGCAGCACCGTCAGCACGAAGAGGCTTTCTCAAGGCACTTTTAAACGGCTGCTTAAGAATGCACTTTGAATTATTATTCGAAAGAGATTTGGAAACAGAATTAGTGATAATCAGGTGTCAGTAGAAGTGTGGCTGATTTCGCTCCAGGCGGAGAGCAGCCAGGCTCAGCCCCAGCCCCGCAGCCCTCAGAGAGCCCTGGACCGAGTCTGTTCGCGTCTCCCCGCCGGCTCCTCCCACCGCCAGGCCACTTACGACCGTGGCTCATGTTAACACTCTTCGATGATTTCCTCCAACTCACATTGCACTATTCTTCCTCTTTCATTAAAGATCCAGGTTTTATGACTCTTATCTTTTTTTTCTTCATAGCATCAATTATCATCCAAGTACCTCTTCAAGAATTTGGCTAAATACGTCATTGAGCATTTGTACGTGAACACAGTTCAGAATCATTGTATGCTGACATGCCAATACACCCTGCTTTTGCCTATACTGTGAATTACGGGCAAATCAAAACAAAAACCTGTATTATGACATGTGCTCCTAATTAACTCTCATACTTACTGTTGTTTACTAGCACTGCTAAAGTCGGTTCTCTGTTTTCAGCTCCTCTCTTAGTTTCAGAGCAAAGACAGTATCTGTTTCAAAAGCTCATCTTCCTGTGTTTTGGGGCTGTTCCTCTGGAATTTTTGGAAGATGTGTGATCCTCGTGAAAAGGATAACATATTATCTAAGAAGAAATCCTGAGGGCGGTTGTACACCCTAACTAATTGTTCTGTTCCATGGCAGTGTATTCCAGCCCCTTCCTTCAGACCGCCTCCACCATGAAGAGGATTTGTGCTCATGATGCGAGCACTCTGCAAGGAGCAAAACCTAGTGAGGATATGTGTCACGAGGAGCTGTTCCAACATTTACATCACTTTCCCTTCTCAGCTTTTTTTTTGGATTAATGTGTAGAACTGACCTTGGGAGTTCGGGCCCTTGTGGGAGCCCACGCTCTGGGGCTCTGGTGTGTCTGTGGGTCAGCCACGGCCTGGCTGGCCCCTCGCCTTTCACGTCAAGTCCTAATTTGCTCAAGGGTGACCCCGGGCTGCAGAAGGTGTCACTGGGTCTGGAATCCTCTTTTGACAAACTATAGTAGTCTCCCTAAATGTGTTTCTGCACCTCCTGAACCCCTCCATAATGACGATTTAATCCTGGAGACGTTTGGAGCATCAGCAGTGTAGATGCTATTTGTGTAGACACGTCACATACATATGTGTTGCATCCAGCAGCTCCATCGCTCAGGGACCCTATCTTTCAAGCCAAGATGAAGATTTTTGTACAGACACCTCCCCGTCCTGTCCCCCATGTCTTCCCCCCAAAAAGGCGTTTTTGGCTAACAAGATTTGGCCGAGCAGGTACCTGATTCCTCAGACCCTCTGCACATAATGCAGAAAGTCCGGCAGAGACATTACAGGATCAAACCCGTTGTCACCTCCTCAAACTCAGTTCAGCTGCTCCTGACAGTGTCTCAATAGTATCCTAGTAACCTCTTCTGTGAAGCTTCATCTGGTCTGTATTTGCAAACACGATTAAAAAAAAAAGGGCCTCGTATTCGGGGGGAAAAGTCTGTGTTAAATCTCTCCGCAGAACTGCCAGGAGAGGTACGGGCGCCTCTGCGGGCAAGTGTATTTGCCAACATGCCATATGGGAGTCATGGCTGGGACTTTTTTTTTTCTGGAATAATTAAATGTTGATGGCAGAGTTCAAATGGATCATTAAAATTCAAAAGTGTAAGAAACAGATTTTTTCTTATGTTGTTGAACGCTCCAGAGGGCCAAATAGCTAGCAGAAGTGAGGCGGGCTGCCGTCCTGTGATCAGCACGCGTCGGGATGGGGCTAATTTGATCATAATATAGTCATCTCTGAAGATTACAGCTATTCAATTAAATATTCTAATTAACCTGAAGTATTAGGCAAATGATACTAATTACAAATATTCTCCTGAGATTCACAGCAATGAAAACCCCACTTGCAACCGATACTTCTGGCCAATGTTTCGTAACACAATGTCCTATATCATAGGCTTTCAGAATATTAAAATGCAGTTAATTTGCCTAAACCTCATTTGTTTAATGGCATTAGCATTTTGTTTGAAATTGTAATAAACGTACATCCCGCTTTCAAGTAAAATTTAAAATGAGTGTACTCTTGGGGTAACTTAAGATTCCTGTTTACAGACCTCGCGTTTTATTCAGGGAGCGGAACAGTTTGAGTTTAACTTTCAGCCATTAAACATATTGAAATTGTTTAAAAATGCTAATAATTTGTCTTTTCAAATAAGAAAAAAAAAAGGATATTTTGCAGTAAGACTTCCTGGCATCACCCATGTGACCGGGCTCCTGCTGCGAGGTCCCCGGTGGTTGAACCTCCCTTGTTTCCAGGAGAAGAACTGCCGGTGGTCTCGGGGAGGGGTCTTCAGGGCAGGCCCTGCCCTCTCCATCTCCAGGCAGCCTCCGCTCCTCCTTACATGACGCTTGCCCCCCGAGGTTGGAGGGCTTCTGCAGAGCCAGCCTTGGCATTGTAACTTGCTGTCATCAGCGTGGACTCTCACTACCACGCCAGCCCCTGCAGGAGGCCCTTCTTCGCCCCTGACCCCCAGCGACGCACATCAGAGCCCGCCTCATCCAGAGCAGCAAGGCTCTGCGCCCCCAGGGACCGACAGTGGTCCTGGCTGCCCCGCGGCGTGGTGCCCACCCACGGGGGGAGCTCCGCCAACATCTCTCGAAGCTTGACCCATGTTGGTGGACCAGAGGCGTGTGTGCTGGGCTCCAGGCTGTGTCCCGGGGCAGCGTGGGATTGGAGTATCTTTTCCGTCCCCCTGCGCAGGAGGTAGAAGCAGAGCCGAGCCCTGGTGTCAGACTGATCTACGGCCCCATCGTGTGCGCACCGTCGGGGCAGGAGGGATGGACCGCATCACAAACGGGGGACACAGAGGACACTGCTGCCCTGACTGTGCCTGGGGACCGGTTCACATGAGCGAAGTGCTGGGGGTGGGGGAATAACTCTCCACTCTGGTGCTGCAGCACCCCCGTGGTGAGCTCAGAATTTACAGTAAAAGCAGAACAAAGCGGAGAAGAGGACGGCAGCACCGAGCCCACAGAGATGCCCGCACTTTCGCTGGGGCCCTGCCTGCTGGGCTGATGTGGGCCTTGGACCAGCTCCAGCATTTACTCTGGGAAAAGAGAGCAAGATGATACCATCTCTATTTATGCTGGGACTTAATACAATCCAACATCCCCAGATACATCCTCTGGGGGAGGGGATATGCTGGAGTGATTTACCTTTATAAACACTGATGTCATGAAATCACCATGAAGCACATTGATCTCTGAGTCAGAGGAAGTAAGGGAGGGGACTTTCCTTTCCATAAAGTGAGCAGAAGACAGAGCAAACACACCGGGTGCAGACGGCGCCCTGAGGTGGGCACACTTAGAGCAAACGCAAAGAGGAGCCACTTTTTAAGGGGGGGTTTCAGTGTTTGTGGTCACAGGGCACCTCGATGGGTCCCTCAGTGAATGAGCCATTGGGTCCCTGGTCAGCTTTCTCCATCCTAGAATTTGATCCGGAGGAAGGGACCCAGGCTTCAGCGTGGCTGGACTTCACACACATGAGATGATCGCATTTCTAGGGGCTGATGTGCGCCCAGCTCTGCACTGATGTCATCGTTCGGGTCACAGCTGCTTGCACAGATCCTTACGCGGTAGCTCCCGAGGACCATGCGTGCACGGGGCAGATGTGTCTGACCACGAGATGATGCTGTCAAGGAGGTCCAGCCAGTGGCAGGAGCTGGTCTGGACAGTTCCCAGCCACCAAGGAGCACGGCACAAAGCAACACGCAGTGTTTCTGTGAACCTGCGATCTGGTTACCTTCCCGAAAGGACAGTCCTCTGCCCACCACTGAAGCGGCAGCCCCATGGTGAGCCGAGGAGGGGCTGCAAGTCTCTGTGGTTTTGATTCCAGGTCTCTGTCGGCCTCTTCACAGCATGACGGCCAGGCCTGCTGCCCGAGGCTCCTTACAGCAGCCACGGATGGAGCAGTGGACAGCTCTCGGCCTGGAGGCCAAGATTAATGAAAAAAGAAAGAGATGCGCTCGAGGTAGATGAATGACAGACAGAAAGTGGACAGAGAAAGGAAGTGAAAATCGACAAGAAATCTATAGGAAGTGACATCTGTGAAAGACAGAAAGTGGCACTCTCCTTCAAAAAGAGGCAAAACCTGAGAGTATCATCCGCGGAGGCGAGCATTCCATTCTGGAAAGTTTCTGTCTGGTTCCCTCTCCCCAGCACGGGTTGCTAGCACGAGTTCTTCATGAGGAAGGCCTGCTAGAACACAATTCCTGTTTCCACTGGACAATTTCTGTTCTGAGTGCTTTCCTTTTCTCCTTTAAATAACGTGTGAACAATGCTACTCAGAGAGTTCAAACAATGGTGAATTTTTGTTGGATCATATTTGTATATTTTTAAAAGAAAAAAGCTGTGTGTTGAGGCGTGGATAATCAGTCTCTGTTCTTCCTGGTGAAAGAACAAGAGTTTACACTGGTAAACTCTGTACACTCTCCACTGATGTGTGTTTGTACGCTTGTGGTTACAGCCATTAGGGATGGACTAGAACTTGACTTTGGACGTGACATGATCTCATCCTGATGTGAGACTGTAGCAGAAACGCCCCAGCCCCAGGGTGACCAGGGGCCAAGGGTCTCTGAGACTCAGTCAAGGCCTCTCTGGAGCTGTTCCCCAAAGGTATCACCTTCTTGGAGGGGGCTCACTCCATCCCCAGCTCTCTGGACTCCAGGACCAGCAGGGTGGAAGGCACAGCTCTGCTCTCGGTGGGGACACAGGCCGGGCCTCCCAGGTCTGCGTAGTACTGAATGGGTGTGGGGGTCACTGCCGCTACACCTGAGACTTGGAGAGCTAAGCTCATGGGGGATGCTCTGCACCTCTGACGGCCAACTTCAGCCTCTGCCTACAGCTTTAGCAAACCTGGTCATTCACGGGCAGTCAGCATGCTTCTGCATCTTCTTGTGTATGTGCACATGTGTGTGCATGTGTGCGTGCACGTGTGCTCGGGCACCTCCACATGTCCGCTGGTGCAGGATGCTGGTAAGTGTAACTCCCCCAGTCTCCTGACACACCTGCGTGGGATTTCCTCGGACACCTGGCTGTGCCAAGGACCAGGAATATGCATGTATCTGAGGGCAATCAGGACACACAGAGGCACGACTGGCCCCACAACTGTCACCGACAGCGGCAGCAACTCCACCCGGACCTTGGGGCTGGGAAAAGCAGGCAAGTGGGGAAGCTGTGAAGTAAACTATTTTGTGACATGTTTTTATGACATGATGATATTGATCTGAAAGACACTCACCCAGAACCACAACCTTTTCTACCCCAAGAAAAAGCCCCGAGCCGGTATAATCTTTTCAATCACTTGATATTCATAGTCTTACTCAAAGGTCTCTGAATATGTCATGTGTGTAATACTGATGCAGAATGTGGCCCGTGGTCGCTGCCAGCAATATGTTTCAATAAGGTAATTTTCCTGCTGCCTAGGAACATCAGCAGGGTGCAATCCGGAACTGAAACAGGGGATGACATCTTATTCACGCATGCATCTGGAGGACAAAACCATACTTTATTAAAGGAAAATGGGATTTCAGGATTGTTTTGACAAGCGCTAAGAACACACCCCTTGGCTTACATACAGTATGGCTGCAGCCCTGGGGGTCTCTGCAGCCCTGGGGGTACCACCTGCGTGGCCAGCAGGGCTTGGGGGTGGGGGATGGGTCTGGAAGCCGGGGTAGCCGCACAGCCAGCGAAGGAGACCCATGCACACAGCACATATTTTCATGTCCCTTTTATTTTATTTTTATTTTATTTTTCTGCTTGCTCTTGACATTCAGAATTGGTGTCAGTGGTTGCTCTGTGGAAGGTACAGGTGACTGCCAACTCCTTTTAAAGTCGACCAAAGACAGTTCTTCCTTCCTTTGTATTTAGGGTCATCCCAATTCTCCCTGCGTAAGGGGAAAAAAAGAGCACATTCTTTGACCTTCTTAAATCAATTTAAGCGTTGAGATTTAAAATAAATACTGAAAATAATGTCAGATTTTAAAATACCAGCTGTGCTCAAACACTTGCCTCCCTCTAAATCACCTGCTTTTATAGCTTTCTGTGTCTTTATTGCCCCTCTCAAAGCCTGCCAGGGATTTCAGGCCTCTGTCCCTGATTCTGATGACTGCTTTCCTAGATTTCTGCATCAAAATGGTCAAAACATTCACCATTTCACTCACTTTGAGCAGCATGAATTCCTGAAGTTAATCACCTTAACAAATGTGTCTGAAAAGAAGGCAATCTTGGAATTGAGCAGAACTGTGAGAGTCCACGGGAAGGGGCTGCACTCGCACCGGCAGGCACACCCTGCTCTTGAGTTCTCAAGCCTGGCATCACCTAGGCTGACAACACCCAGGTTTCCTCCCTTCAGAGAGGAAGCACCGATAATCTTTAGAGTACAAGTTAAAAAAAATTAAAAATAAGATCAGCCAAATTAAGCATCAGAGAAAATATTAACTAGCAAGGGAAAAGGATTATTAAAGAAAGCATCTTATTACAACCTTGGATTGCCCCCAAATGAAATGGTGCTTAAATAATCAGACTTGGATACTGCCTTATTCTCAGAAATCATCCTGTGATGTAGTCAATTTTGTGGGCCTGGAGAAGATGTATTAAAGAACAAGATTTCTATATGTAAACTCAAATAAATCCCCAAGCCAAATGCCTTTGGTGATGGTTTGTGTGAATTAAGCAGTTTGGGGGTAGTCATTTGCAGAAAAATTTCAAAATTTGTCAGTACAGTAATCAGTTGAAACCTCCCCAACCTCTGGTGTTCTGAAACCTTGGTGCTTCAAAGTACCAGGCAGTCTGTTGTTCTAGTTTACCTTAGAGCAGATGCATGTGTTCACATGATCTGTCGGCCAGCAGCAAATAACTAGACCACAGTAAACCCCTACGTAGTGGAGAGCAGGCTGAAAGTAGGTAGTGTTTTAAATGCAAGCTATCAGCTGCCTTGGGGAAGCCTCTCGGGCCCTTTGATGTTGATTTAATTCCCCACCCACCAAGCAGGGGCCTTTTTAAAGAAAGAGCAGGAACTCTGCACCGACTAGAATAGGCACTGGGTGTTCAGACGGATCCTGCTCTGTGCCCCCATTTGCTTATCCTCGTGACGGTTTACTTAGCAAACAATAAAAGCACGTTGACTTCCACAGCCTTTATTAGAGGTCCCTGCAATCCGCAAAAGGAACACAAAAGAAAAGGAAGAAGATTGAGAGGCAGTTTATGAGCTGAGGAGAGCCGCCTGGACAAGCAGCGTCTCTCCAGCAGCCTGACGAGTCCACACAGGCCTGGTTCTGGTCTTGTTCTCACGACAGAGTGAAGAGCCCCGTAGGAAGACGGATCCCCTGCTGGAGTTGAGGAAGTGAAGAATCTCCTTCCGGTGAACTGAACTTGATTTTAGTCATGCTGCTCTGCAATGCTTGGCAATTCCTTCATTACAAAATGTATTCAACATATCAAGATACAGAATATTATAAACAAACATATTTCCCATGGAACACATAGGAGTAATATGAAAGATTAACTTTGTCATAGCTGTGCAACTGCAGTGACTTTTGTGTGTGTGTGCTTTTTCTTATATAGAATTAAGCATATGTGCTAGGACACGTCCCTTAGATGGGAAACCGTTTTTAGAAGAATGTTGAGACCATGACCATCCCCTCACTAGTTTCAGCCCTGGTTTTCTGGTTCCTCCGAGACAATCTCTTATTCCTTATCAGCACTTAGCCTCTGGTGAGCTTACCCTGGTTCTGTAGAGCACTTTTTCTGAGAACTTGAAGAAAAGGGCTTCAAAAAGACGTAAAGAGTGTTCAAAATGACCCAAGAGGACAGAGGAGGGGCTGGGAGGATGGACAGACGGGCCTTTCTGGGCTGTGGTGTCTCCTGGTGCTGGAAACACCTGAGCTCCTAGACAGGGGACGGCCCTCGCAGCCCAGAGCGCATGTGTTCGGAGCCTCACCATCTAGTTTGTTTGTTTGAGATGTAGAAACCAAGCTTCTGGGGGTGGGTTTGGGGCCATCTGAACACCCAGTGGCTATCTAGTCAGTGCAGAGTCGATGCTCAATCGTCTCATGAGCGGGAGAATTAAAGGATTCAGAAAAGCCCCAATGAGTACATTCAAAGCCAGGTGGTCACACCAGTCTGCGTCCCCCAGTGCCAGTAGCAGCATCGTACACCCTTTTGTTTCGAGGGCACACAAGCTTCCAACAGGTCGTGTGTGTTTAGACCTTGGCTAGGCTGTTCCTAGACTGTATCTCAGCTGCACTGATTTAGCAGCTTCTGAGCTAATGCCTTCAGCAGAAACGCCAGGATCACTTTCTGCTTTCTCTGGCTATAGAAACTACCCAAGGAAACCCGGCTGTGCTCCTTGGGTGGGGCAGGGGAAGGTCTTATTTTCTGAAGGACAATTTAATTCCTTGGTTGCAAGTCAGGAATAAATTCAAACCTAAAGAAAATTAACAGCCTAAAGAAAATGAGCAAGCAAAGAGTATTTCTAAGCAAGGTTTTCTATTCTGGCTTTCATTTTGAAGCTTCAGGAAGCAGCGTCTAGAAAATGCTTTCTAGTGTCGCATTATTTTATCCCAATGCTTTCACCCATCAGTGTTTAATCCAGGGGCTCATGTAGGGGAGTGTTCTGGCTCAGTTCACTAAGCTACCGACCAAGACTCCAGGGAATGGGTTCTGCTGAGACGTGCCGTTATTCCTCTGCGTCTCACTGGACAATTACTTATCGAATGAGCACATGAGGACAGGAGGAACCATCCTGGGCAGGGCCCCACGGTGGGCCATCCTGCCAGGCTCTGCCCAGGGAGAAAGGAAGCTGCCTGACTAGGCACGGGTGCTAGAAGGGCTGTTTGTATCTCGAAGATCATTGATGGAAATTCTAATCTCTTCCTGTCTCAGATCATTCTGCTGTAATTGAGCTGGGGGTGGTGGTTCTCTGAGCTCCAGGGATGCTCCAGTGAAGCTGTGGGATCCGCCGGAGTTTCCACAGCAGTGTTTGTCTCTGCATTTTCTTTGTCCCCTGTAAACGGAACTGGGGAAGGTTTTCCTAATGTGTGATGCCCACAGGCTGTTGAGACACACTGGTGACATCACAGACGGTGCCATTGTGTTTGGATATAAATTGTTCAGCAGGTCTGCGAATTTGAGTGTGTTTAGTAACTCTGACTTCTGTCTCTATCTCTGCAAAATGGTACTTTTCCTAACCAGAGTCTTCCAAATGTTGCTGAAAAAGGCAGAGAGCACAGGGAGCATTCTACAGGGACCTCGGTGGTTCCAGGGTCCTGACCCAGAAGATGTGTTTCTGCTCCGCTGACCCAGCCCCGCAGAGGGTCCAGGTTCCCTGAGCTGAGCCTTCTCTTCTAAAGCCTGACGGGTTGCCAGAGTAACCACAGAGACTCAGACGGAAAGCTCTATGACTTGTGAGGTTTCCAGACTTCAGTTTCTAGAGTGTGCTGGGGGTTCCACCAGGCAGCTCTCCAGGAGCTTCCAGGAAAACCTTGCTCGTTTGGCTCACTTTCCAGGAGTAAATAGACTCATCCTCCCCACTCCTCAGGCTCTGTCTTTGGAATTGTCTAAAAGGCTTCCTTCTCTGCACCCCTCCATCCTGTCAGCCACCATGATCTGTGATCCCTTCCTCTTCCTCCCAGATGTTCATGCCCATGTCCTAACTTCTCCAGGAGGTCAGTGCCCTCCATCCCCAAGGTTGGACCTGAGAAAACTGAGGTCAAATCGCGGTATACAATGCACCCAATGTCTCCGAGGAGAGACGCTCAAGCCAGGCCATGGCCCCAGGCAGGCGGGTGGAAGAGCACCTGTTTTTCTCCATCCTCTCCAAGCACCCAGCTGCTCAAAACCCTTCAAAGATCTTCCATTCATAAGTGAAAAAAATCCCAAACTGCTGAATCTGCTGCTCAAAGTCCTCCTCACGTGATTGGTCTCAGCATCATTCTAGCTGCCCTCTCCATTGTTAACTCCCCGTAAGACACGTGCACACACACACACACACACATGAGCTGTACATATGCACATGCACACCTGCACAGTTGTGCACGCATGCACGTGCACACATCTTAGCCTGCCCTGGGATCAGACTGCATAGCCCAGGTTCTCCTAGGACACCTCAGGCAGGATTTCCTTCTTTTATGGCTGAATAATATTCCAC